TCCCAAAGTTCAGACTTAGAAAATAAGTCATTTAAAACGAGATTTCTCTCGTTACAAATTTGGTTCAGCAAAAGCCAAGACAAGTAGAGTTTGAGTTTTTCCCAAAACATGAAAACCTCAACAAATTTCATAGTGCAGTCCTTAGTACATCAAGTCCTCAAGAACAGCCACTTCTGCCCCTTCAGAATTGAAGAAGCCGCAGTTCTGTCCACTCAAAAGCCTCGCAAAGCTTGAAGTAGATCAAAGCTCTGCCAAAATTGAACTTTGGTATCGATTTACAGCTGAAGCTTAGCAGTTGAAGTTGTTAACAATTCAGTCCAGCCCAGATATATCTAGTCCAGCCCGGATCAGAACCCTCTGTCCAGGCAGAAATGGAGTCTTAATTGTCTTTTAATCTTTCTAGCGTTGATATATATGTCCATAGTTTTGTAAATGGCAATTCTGCCTAAAATAGTCCAATTTTTATCAACTATTCTGGCCAAAACAACCGTTTTTATACTGAGATAAATTATGAAAGTCCTCACCAGCCTGAGACATAAAAAGAACTTACTTGGGAGATATTCCTCACCCAAATTCATAATCGTTTGTTTTAGAAATCAGTAACTTGAGGCGCAACCTATCTATTTTCTAGAAGAAGTCTGCTAGAGTCTTCACTGCTAGCAGTGGCACGCTCATACACCAAAGAAAGCTGTCTTGTTGACCAGTCAATGGTTTCTAGGGCAATGGAGAACTTTGCCCTTCCATCTTATGAGTAAACACAAAATGGGGTGAACAACAGCTTAACGATTGGGCTTGGGCTGCCGTAAGAGGAAAACGAACCAAGATTCCCCAAGTGTCTAAGTTCAGAAACCAGGCTCCCAAAAGAGTTTTTGAAGAGCTTGATGCGACTCTAGAAAAACACTCTCGGGTTCTTTTCACCAATAGCCAAGTAGACATAATAAGTTGATGAGTGGCTTAGCTTGAGTAGCTTGTGGCATGGGAGCTAAGCTTTCACAAGTTTAGCAATTAGAGAGAGAGAGAGAGAGAGAGAGAGAGAAGCGTGAGTTTCTTACAGAGAACAAAGGGTTAAAATGAAACATATGAAGATTAGGGAGATTTCTTTCTTAGAGAAAGGAGAAAACAAACAAGGAAGAAGATTGGGTGGCTTGAGTAAATTCTCAGTTGCTTGACAAAGCTTGGTCAGGCCTTCAATGGTGATTTTGTTGGGTAGAAGAAGGTCCCTTTTATAGGCACAAAGAATCCTTAATTTTTTCTAACCTCCTTTTTCCTTTTTCTTTGCTTCTTTCCATTTAATCCTATTCGGTGAAATTTTCCTATCCAAGGCGCCTAGGTAAGGAGCCCTTTGGGGTTCCAAGCTTTTGACACAACTGGTCTTCTCCATAAGGGTGAGGCGCCACCCACCTTCTTCCTGGTTTTTCCTATGGGAGCTAACAGAGGAAAAGGGGGAATGGACATACGGTTTGCCCAACGGGTATCCTTCTTGCTCATATGAATTTCCTTTGGTTTTTACGTTGGCTCATGTTGACTCTGTCATAGAACTTTGGGCAAAGGCTGAACACTCTTGCTAGATATTTTGTAGAGCATTGGGATGGGTTTTTCCCAAGGTTTTGGGACAGTGATACTCTATTCTACAGCGACCAGTTAGCTTGTTTTCGTCGAGCTGCTAGAAGCAGTTTGCATGTTGCGTTTTTAACAAAGTATTTGGATGCTCTAACTAACATAGAGTTTCCTAAGCAAACTACTATATTCCTTCTAAGGCATTGGGTCATGTTCACTCTCTCATGCTAGCCTATGTGTTTGGGCTCAAGAAATGGGCTCGAGTTTTGGGGCTCCCAAGCAGCCCAAAACTTCCATTTCTTGGCTCATCAATAGGCCTCATGAAAGCTTGTTACCATCCATACCACAACCCACTCAAGCAAGCCCCGGGCATTTGCGTGGCTTGGGCCCACTTAAGCTTGTAGCGTGGTTAGGTGTGAAATAATAATTTCCTACTTGGCATGGCATGTTAATCGGCGTGCTTTAATTTTATCGTCCTTGAATAGAGGCATGATGCTTGACGGGGTAATTAGCATGGGCTCGTAAAGTCAGTGTATTTTAACTCTTAGCATGACAGATTGCATATTTATTTGGCATGGCACGTGGATCATGACTCGTGCGGCTTCTTCTTAGTAAGGTGTCGTGCTGGGCCATGAATTTATTTAGGTCCAACCCTGGATTTTTGGGCCTCAACACCTCTTTTGCGATCATTGCTATTTTGTCATGCTTCTTGGTGATTCTAAAGCTAGATGTTCGTGTTGGAGCTCGTACCAACAAAAACACCAACACAACCGAAACCCAAGCCTCCACTTGTTTGTGTCCAAACCAAACATGTTGTGTGATGTTTCTTCATCTGTACCATGTCTTGTTTTCTACAGTATTCACTCTCTTGTAGTGACTTTTATTCGTACTTACCTACTTGTTGCCTTATACTGGATATCTTCAAAGATCTTGCTCCCAGAAAGTCTTCACCAGCTTTTGTTTTGGATTGATACCATTGTTGGTAATCCTGAAGGTGAAGGTGAGGTTGCCTGGAGTTTGTGCTAGATTTATGTTGTGGCTCTTCAACATCACACCAAGGATGGGATTGAGAGCTAGCTTACAAAGGAGCACCCAACAGTCTACCAATGCCTACACGGATTTTAGACTTAGAAAATGTATCATATTTGGATTCATGAATATCTACTCCAAACCCTCGTTTCTTAAATCTTTTGCTTATTTCTCTTTGTTTGATCCATATAGGGACAAATTATAGCCCCAAGGCACAATGATTGAAGTTTTGCATCCTACGGATATGGATGGTTCTCTCCTCTTCCATCCACATATATTTTAACATATATGTGATGCTCTCTCCAATATGATGGTCGTGAGTGACTCCAATTCTTTATGTTCTCCAAATTACCAATTAGGACGTGTGTTTTGGAATTAATTCTAAAATTTGGATTGATTCCTTAAGCTGATTTTGTTGGATTTATATTATTCCATAGTTGAAGCAAGGTTAAGATTGCCTTAAAACTTCTTTCTTGCTTTTTAATAGTAAGACGCAATGGTCGAGTTAATGTATTTTGAAATCCATATAATATGCAACCTATTCAGTGAATTATTACCTATCTACACACTAAATCGTTTCCTAATACATAGTGATTGCAGTTAAATAACAACTTGATTAAGTTGATGGTTTTAATTGTGCAAAAAACTCATCTCTTGAGTTGTCAAGGTGATTAAGTCTATGCTCATTATTGTTATTGCTATCTAGCAATCATCATTTGGCCTACGACTCATGGGCCCAATTGGGTAGCTTGAGATCCGATGAGGCAAAGTCCAGCCCAGCTCATTGTTTACGTTCGCTCGACCTAGTCCAACATGTTCTAAAATTGGGTAGGGTTTGGACTAAGAGTTTGAAAGCTTGAGCAAGCCCGCAAACTGACCTGCTGATCCCCTCTAGGGCCCGACCCGATCCGCCTATAAATGAAATAAATACTATACTTTTTTAATCAATTTTCTAACTTGTCAAGCTTTATTATCTCAAAGTTCAAGCTCAAATTTTCTGATATCTCTAAATCCTCATTCCTTTGGTGGTGGTGCTCTTATTCCTTTGTATTCTCTCAAATTCCAAGCTCCAATTTTCTCAATCTCTCTAAATCCCCATTGATTGATGGTGATGCTCGCATTTCTTTGTAATAAATTTTTTTTAAATGACTTATAAAAGTAAATAAATAAAGACTCGAATCGGCCTGACCAACCAAGCCGGTATACGCCTGACCCACCCAAGCTTTAACATTTGAAACGTCAGCCCGTCCCAGCCCAGCCCAAAAATTTAGGCCTGGGACAGTAAAATGTCGAATCTTTTAAATTAGGGACGAGATGGGTTTTAACTGAAATTACTTGGATCCATATCTTTGTCAACTCCAACACGTATTTCTTCCCTTGGACCTAATCTTCTGCACAAAACTCATCAAAAACCCAAATGGCTCTTAACGGGCTCATTTTCTACTCTTGGTCCCAACAATAACATTGTTGCCTCTCTTGCCGTCATTGCTATTCGGCCTGCTTCTTGGTAATTCAAGAGTAAAATAGTAAAATTGGGGCATTACAAGATGAGTCTAATCCTCCACTGGCCCAGAAGTTTTTCTTTAAGCGTAGTGACCAGGAAGATGAAATGTTCCTGAGAGCCTTTTTTTCAAAAGGAACTTAATTGTATTGTCTTGCTTATTTGTATGGTTTATTGTTTGCAAGAACCCTCATCTGGGGCAATGTTCTTCATATATATTTTGTATTTTGTATGTTCTTCACGTATATTTTGGATATGAATGAATTTGTTTATTTCTCTAAAATATATACCACCCGATGTATCGGATACACAATTGTACACGTGTTACAATGAGTGAATAAACAATTGTACACGTGTTACAATGAGCGAATTCAACAAACCACATCAGCATTCCCACATGGATACAGAATTTTTTTTTGTTTAGCCCCCTTGTAAATAAAGAAATATAAAACAGAGCATGCCATGTCCAACTGGGAAATTGAACGACTATTGACATCCCTCAGAATCATTCCAACCAAGTATACCCTCAATAATTGTAGTTAGTGGGTGATCATATTATAGTATTTTACGGGAATTTCAATTGCTAGATTCTCATTTATGTTATAATGGTGACCTAGTCTTGCTTGCTTAGGAGAGTGCCAGCTTACTCATGTTACATAAATCAGCATGCAGAAAAAATAAATCAGTAATCTAGAGGTGCAAATGCTCCCTACCAAACCAATTTTGAGATGATCCAAGTTTCTTGTTATTTTCACTACCCTTTATGCACACCGCATTTCACGATCGACAAGACGGGTCTCAAGGGTTGCCTCCCCATTACAAAAGATAAATTGTGAAAAAGTACATGACTGTTTCTTTGCCTTCAGGCATCAAAAAATTTGATATCCGTTATCAATTCTCACGGGCTGATAGGTTAATAATTACTCACTGAACTGTTGATCGACAAGGAAGCCTTCAATGTTTCGGCAAGATGTGGCAGTGTCTTTATGCTCTCTTGGGTTGCCTCTTCAACACATGACTCCAAATTGTTCAGTGTATTTGTGGCCTTTTGTTGCTTAGCTACATCATGCTTGTCTTGACAGACCATCAGTGCCCTACTCAACCTCTCCTGCATCCACATAAGAATTTTCATGAGCAAGAAGTAGTTTGCTAGAATGACAACCTGAAAACATACTTCAGCGTGCATAATTGTATCTGGTTTACGCATCACCAAGTATTAAGAAAAAAAAATTGCAGCACAAATATTCAGGAAAATAAAGTGAACACAATATAGAAAACACTGCTTATGAGTGGATGTGAGATCATCATCATAATCACCTCTGAACTTTGAAATTAAAATTGATAATATTACACATGCTATGTAACAGATTACATTCTCCATACACTCAGCAGCAGTATTAAGGGTCATAAAACTAAGGGAATGATTGATAACTCAGTTCAGAGCTGAAAATGAAAAACTTCTGTAACTGATGAGGGCATTCACAACATTTTAAATATTGCACTCAACTTTTTCATTGCACTTTCAGTGAATTTGATGACACTAAGAAATTCAGCACTAAACTAAAAAATAACGAAAGAGTTCAAGGATGCTGATTGATAAATATGAAAGCATGCCTTTGAAAACACTGCTTATCACCCTGAAGAGTTAGTTATAGGGGAGGAAAGGTGGCTCCTTAGCCAATAATTAGATTAAGGATCCTCCTACTGTTTGTATAAAGATTCTCACAATCCTGATGTTGATTCATTGAAATATTTTCTTTACGATTTTCACCCATAAAGTTGAGCAAACTCTATGCTTTATAAATTTACTTTTCTTACGCATTTTGTTTGATTTCCTAATTAGCTTTGAGAGGCGGGTGAATGTAAGTAACATTTGCAACCTAGTAGTCGATATTTAAAGGTTTTATAAAGAAAGAAATACAGTACACTGTTACTGGGACATCATTTCATAAAGTTTGTTTCTGCTTTTGCTTATATCAAGAGGATCGAGAAACAATAAGAACATATAGATGGGGTTGCATAAATAAAAAACAAACAAGATAATATCTCATTGAATCAGAAATCAAATCATAATGTTCCATACACACACACATACACATAAATATACTCCTCTCCTTCAAATTCATTTGTCTGTCAAGTATCATCCTAAGATCTTAGACAGAGACCTCCTATAGCATGCAATACTTCAAAACATAATAAGCTAGAAAATGGAAGGAGTTTCACCACTAAGAGATGCAGGAAAAAAAATGTACTTACTTGAAACCTGGCCATCTCACCCTCAACTCTCTGTTGAGCAGTCACAACAGGAACACTGCAATTTTCGACACAATTGCTTATCTCTTGTTGACTTCTTCTCCTATCAAAACACTCATATGCACATTTGAAGTAGGCTTGCTGCAAAAAGTCATCAACCAAAATGTGAGTGGAAAAATATTACCAGTGATCACAGAGGCAATGTATCACCAAGTTCGCATCCCAAGTCTTAGCAGAAAATCAGGAAACCATATTAATGCTTAGTATATTATAAACTAAGAATCAAATATTGGGTTTCTTTTATTCAGCTTTTTGATATTTGGATACAACAAAGACTGATAAATCTAATAAAATTAAAAGAAGAAAAATAAAAAAGGAAGCCCCAGACCGCAAACTGGAATGATTTTCTGTTTCCTCTAGCATCAGTAATCAAATTAGAAAACTGAATCTATCAATTTTCCTACTACGTTTTCTCAGCAACCAAACGCAGCTCAATAACAAAACCATAACCATCTTTTTGGTGTTACCAGACAGCTGATAATGGAGTAATAACGTCGAATCCATAACATACAAAGGACACTTTTATAATAAAATCCATCGAAAAACCAATAAAAAAAACAAAGATTACATGCTCATCAAATATATATACCTGAAGGGTGAAATTGACATGGTCTTGGACGGGAGAGAGATGGGTTTGGGCGGCAAGATTTACTTGGTTTAGCTTTTGTTTTATTCTCTCTGATACCAATTGTTCTTCCATTGCTGCTATGTGATTCATCTTCTCTCTGAATTCGGGGCTTTGGTTGTGTGCTATGAGAGCGATGTATTTAGGGTTTTGGGTTTTGGGTGGTTATATATAAATGTAAACAAAATTGGAGGGTTGTATATATTCATATTTTTTTGGGCTAAAAGTCACTTTTAGTCCCTATAGTTTGGCACTTCAAACACTTTTAACTCTTTAGTTTCAATTCCGTCAATTTTGCTATTGTAATTTCGTATTTGTAGCAATTCAATGACATGTTAGTATTCTTGTCAATTTTTTTAACGATGCAAGAGGCAATTCCGTCAACCCAAAACCCTTTAGTGTAAAAGCTTGTCTAAAATTCTCCCTATTTCATATTAGGGCTCGAAATTCAACCACTAATCCCAATTTTTGAAGAACATTAAATCCAAATGACCAATTTCAAGCCCTAATATGAAATTAGGGGAGTTTCAAACAAGCTTTTATGCTCATGGATTTTGGGTTGACGAAATTGCTCTTTGCACTGTGAAAGAAATTGACAAGAATACTAACTTGTCCCAGAATTGCTACAAATATGAAACTACAGGGTTAAAATTGACAGAATTAAAACTACATGGTCAAAAGTTGTTGAAGTGCCAAACTACAAGGACCAAAAGTGACTTTTAGCCTATTTTTTTACATGTAAAAACATAAGTGCATCTCCGGTTGAGCCGGTAAATCCACGGTGGAGAGCTGAATAGAATCCTTGAAACTATAGTCAAATCCTACATCGTCCCTAAAAGATAAAGTGGCCCACATTGCTCCTTGACCAAGTTTGCCCATATCGTCATCTTCATCCATAATTCCGTCAATTTTAATAACGTGGTAGGGTTAATATAGTAATTTATAATAATTTCACAATAAAATTAATAATAATAAAAATTTACAACATAAAATTAATTATACAACAAAATAAAATAACATAAAATTGATCTCAAGTCTGTAGATCTCCAAGTGGTGAGAAATCTTATCCTTCCCTTTCATCGATTTAGTCTCGCTTTAATTCGTCGCTCTAATTGCTTGTGAGACTTGATCATGTGGTCAAGTTCATCCTTGCACCTCTATGCCTTAGATAACTCCACCAAACGAAGTTCAGCCATCAGCAAAACATTTTCATAAATTAGTAAACAAGTCAAACGAAGTTAAATTGAAGAATAGATGAAAAAGAGCATACTGAAATTAAGTGGTGCCCCTGCAATAATGCAACGTCACGATCATCCAAGTCTTTCCATTCCTTAATGTCACTAGGATGGAGAAGGCAACTTAGAATGACGGCACATGGCTCAGGATCGTGCAATAGCCCTTCACTTGTCGTAAGGTGCTTCTAGTTCAACCTCTGAAGGCAAGCCTCCAAATCTCAATGTCGCTAGAACGAATGGACTCATTATCAGGGTCGACATCCTCAGTGGTAACGATCGGATATGAAATGGATAGTGATCCAACATAGTTAAGGGTGCTAGGACGAGATAGAACTAGAGACGAAACCAAGGGGCTCTTACATGATCCTAACTCAATCCAGCATTTGGGACAAGCCTAGGCCTTTTGATCGGCTGGGTAACAGATGACCTTTGCCCTGGACATGGTCGAGAAGCGTGCTTCGATGGGTTTGTGAGTGGACCTGACATGTCTAATAGCTTGGATTCGTATGGAGAGGAACCTATGTTATTCTCTTACTCGCCCGTCTTTCAGCGTAACTCTTTCAAATACAATCCGATGAATCTTCATCAAATTGGAGAGAGTAATCTTAAGGACCATTAATTTAACAAAAGAAGCTTAAAGACAAAAGGTGATAGTTTGACAAATCTCAGGGATTATTTGAAATAAAAAAAGCCTTTTTAAATTGTAGATGAGATCCTTTATTTTTATTTTTATTTTTATTTTTATTTATAAATATGCTATGGGTTTTCCTAGAACAAAAGAATAAATAATCCAAGTGTGTGCCAGATGGTGTTTCGGGTTCAATCACCACTCCACTACACTCACATTAGGGGTGGGTATCTCATCTAAAAAATTCGTGTATCATTGGTGAAATTATTATTATTATTATTTTTAATTCTTCTGATATGATCTGTACCGAAACGTTTAGTTAAAAGATTGGGTAAAAATATCCCTAACCCGATGAGAATCCATACCAAACTGATATTTATAAGTAATTTATTATTTAAATACTAATATGTGTGTCAATTTATTAGTGGATGGATATGAAGGTTATGTGTTTGCAATACATAATATGGTTTCCTTGTTTATGTGTTTGTCTATGCTTTATTTAGAAAATTCATACTCGCATGGGTTTCTGTGATATGGAAATGATATTTAACATAATTACTCCAAATAATTGTTATAGACCATCATACTTTTTCTGTTTTAGATTTTGTTTAATTCATTTAGTTTATGTTGTTGGTTTGAATCTGGGTGCATATGTTGTAAGCTAAATTATAGATGTGACTCTCGTAATGGCACTTCTTCCTTGTAGTATCATTTAAATACTACATGTAAGACATCTCAATTTAAACTAATTTTATGTTATTTTGTAATATTATTATGTATTTTATTATGTATTTTATTATGTTTCTTTGTAATTTTTAAACTAGGTTATTTGATTTCATACTTGAATGAATTAGACTGTTGTTTTTATTTATTTATAATCTTTTACATGGAGAATTGAAATGTTCAAAACTTATGTTCTACATAATTAGTATGTTTTTTTGTTAAGCGGTGCTATTAGCCTACCGATTCATGCCGGGCCTAGCACACATGTATTTGATACCCGTGGCATTTTATGTAATTCATGAAGTTTTTAATGTTTGTCTCCCTTTGAATATTCCCTTTATGTTTTCAGAAGAAAAAAACCTATTAGCAGAAACATGTGGAGGGCCTAATCACACTGTAAAGCACTCCAATGTACAACGACATCGGTACTCATCATACGACATCCTCCATCACTCATCTCTCCGTCTCTAATGGCAATTGCAGCTACTACTTCTCTTCCCTTCGGTAAATCACGATCATATGACTTTCTTTCCATTTGGGTTTCTGTTTTTATTTTAATTTAGTGGGATCACGCCTTACTGGGAGCTGAGAGTCGATGAAGCGGAAATATGGGAAATACCCAGTTTGATTTGCATGCCTTGGCAGAAACCCATTTGGATTTTTGTCACAATTTTCTTAGAAAAAGCTTCGCTTGAGTGGTTGTATCAGCTTTCTATTGAAGGATCATAGTTGTTGAAGAAATACCCACATGCAAAAAAATGATTGATTGCAAGTGCTAGTTTACTGGGACTGAGAATTGATGAGAATATGAGTTGATTCTTGGTTTCGTTATCATATTTCACTCTTACTGTGAGCATATACAAGCAAAAACAAAAAGATAAAAGAAAAGAAAGATAATTGTAGTATTCAGATTTTAATGAAGAATAAGTCTATGTTATTGAAATTTCGATTTCTTGCTGGTTTCCTCTAGTTTTCCTTTAAATTTCTTGGCAATTAGTTTTAATCTTATGTTGGACTATTGATTTATTTAATTTTTGTCTTTTAGCCTCTTGGGTTTTTGTTTCCATTAGCTCCTCCTGCTTGGAAGCTTCAATTTTGCAGCGCTCGTGACATTTTTTTTCTTTTGAAAATTTTTAAAATGGATTTTTCAGGTTCTTCTCATTGCCATTCGTGCCATGCAGAAAGGGTTTGTTGTTCTACAACACATGGGATCTCAAACAGTTGGATGAAACCTCCTTCTGATGGTCGAAGAGCCCTTGATCTTCCAGGCGTAAGGTGTACTTTAGTTTAAAATTGATTGATCTTATCCATATATATGGTGGCATTATTATTTCTACAAAATATGTGGAATATTTGGGTTTAGTGTGTGCTGAGTATGATGTGCCTTTAAGAGGATAACTATTAGCGGTTGCCTGAGTAAGGGAGGGAAAGAAAAGAATACCTTCCTTCAGATGAAAATAGTTCTGCTTGAATGAACGTGAGTAACCTTTTGCACCGACCAAAAAACATGAGTATATTTTGCTTAGAACTTTGGGTGCGCATACAATTCTTATTGGGGTGAATGTAGAGTTTCTCAGCTTTCTTTTCTTCTCCTTTCCTACATGTGATCACTGCACTCAGGTATGATGTTTACAGACTAGACATGAGGAATTTAATGTTCTACATAAAAATTATAGAAATATTTTTTTCGTCAAAAAAAAATTATGGAATTATGAGTAAGATGTGTGGGCAGTAACTTGACGGGGGATTTTTAACCATTACCTTCATTTTCCCCCCTTTTTTTAGCTATTAATTTTAGATTGAATTCAAAGTTTATTTTACAAAATTTATGTTCTGTTAGGTCAAAAGTTTATTTTTTCTATTATAGTTTTAATTGCAGGAATCCTTTACGATCAACCCAATTCCACTGGCTGTCTATTGGACATGACCTTTGCCTTTCCAAAGTTTTGGTTGCTGCAGATTACTCAGATTCTGTTCCTGATTCCTCTAGTTATATTACTGACCAAGGTTATCATCCTCTTGAAGAAGTGAAAGTCTGCAAAATGGTCCGGGACACCAAACTCACTTCTGCTGAAATAGCACGAACAACAGTTGAGGTCTCTGTTTTTGATACAGCTGTTCTATTAATTTTAAAATTTGAGTACCAAAAAAGTCAGTCAGTTGGCATATGGATAATGACCTGCAAGTATCGTTTTGTGGGACTAATTAGCTAGCATCCACAATTGATGTACTTGGTGTTATTACCATGCATGGTTAAAAGTTTCCTTTCTGCCTTAGGCGAACTGCAGTGCTTTGCTGGTGTTCCCGGGGAAGATACACTGTGAACCACATGAACAAATTTCCTGGGCTGATTTTGAATATGTTATTGACGACTATGGAGGTCTTTTGATGTTTATCTTGAAGTGCATAAGTCAATGTTTTTATGTATACTTTATTCTTGATTCTGATTCCATCTTGTTAATCTAATTATTTCTGTAGATTTATATTTTGAAATTTTTGATGATGCAAACTTGTTAGAGGATCCTGCAGCAAGTAACCCTGTGGTGAGGATTTGGTTGCTTTAATACTTTTTCTTTCCATTCATTTTAATTCCAGATGTTTAAGTTTAGAAGCAATGCCCTCAATTACATTGGAAAGGAGAAAAAGGATTAAGTGATTTTGTGAACTTTTCATGGGTGCCCATTTTTGGTGTCATATCCTCCAACCTCTCTCTGTCTCTCTCTCTTGCTCTTTCTTGCTTTCTGTTGTGGTACTTGTTAATAAGTTTCCAACAAATTAATATTTACTCTCTCTCTCTGTGTATAGCTCATTTGCTCGTTTCGGTTTTCAAATAACATAGTTTGCATGCAATCAAAGTAATTTTTTTAAATTTTCTATTGACTGCCATAGGTATTTGCATGAAAATGAGCTAATCCTATGACATTATGAGATTTGGATATCAATATTTATATTTTAATGTGTTCATGGATGTATTTAGCACTTTAGACTGCAGCAAAGCAGTACAGTAGTGTGGGAACATTTGTATGTTGACATCTATATTAGCTTAGACAGTTAAGACTTTAGTGTAATTGATTTTGTTTACTTTTTTTTCATTTTATCTCCTTTTTCTTTTATTATGCTTTTGTGCTAATTGCGAAATTGATTTCTAATATGAGTGTTTGCCCTCAGAATGCTTTGTTTGGGATGGATATCCCTTTATATGATGATGGAAGAATAGCTGGTGAGTTCAACATCCTAGGTGGTGGAAATAGTGATGAAATCCCTTTTGATGATGATTATCTCGAGGTCAGTAAAGGCAATCTTGTTTTCTAGAAGAATATGACAGTCTCTCTTTTATTTAAGATTGGATTTGGAGGTTCAACAAACATAGATGGAATAACAGTGATTAGGTTAAAGAAAAGATATTAGATTTTATTAGTTTGTTGGTCTGCAGACCAGAAATAGGCAAAGAAGATGGTAAAAAATATGAAAAATATGCAAAAGAAATTCCTAGCCTCATCTTGATGCTTCTGAGAGGCCTTGGGCTCGAAATTATTAGTTCCTGCTAGGAGAAAATAAACGCTAAGTAAACTTTTAAATACTTTAGAGTTTCTATTTCACTATCAATTCGATGTTTATATAGATAAGAGGGAAGCGGGTAGACATTGTATCCTGCCAAAGACCATATAAATTCTAATAAGACTGGATGGCTAACTTTTCCCCACTTATAAACCTTGTATTTCCTTTGATGACTTAGAAGTTTTATTTTCTGGATTACTATCTCTTGGTCACATATTCTGACATTGAACATTATAGATTTCTTTTCTTTTCTTTTCCCTATTTAATGTCCTCTCCCTTCCCACCATCTTTCATCCTAGACTTTTCTCATTACCTTTGTAATTATCCATGTTCAAGTTGACGTGCCTCTTTTGGTTAAAATAGGTTGTAGAATCTGAAGTTTCTGATGTTCTAGACTGGGGGTTGCCGGATACTTCTAGCTCGATTCATCCTATTTATTTCGCGAAGTGCTTGACAAAGGTGATTATTTGATGTATGTAACTTTTATTTTTGAAGCTTTTTTAATCATGAGTGTGAGTACCCAGCTATCTCTGAGGGAGGGGTTAGAATAAATTTATATTGCATGATATTGATCACTGCTTTTAATAGCCAGTCTTATGTATTTAACTCAATCATCTTTTACAGTGTGGAGGCATTACCTCAAACTCAGCCTTCACCTGTAATCTTAAATTGGAGGTGCCACTAGGCCCAAAGGGCATTGGCATACTGTTCTAAAGTTATTAACGTTGGTAATGAGCCATGTATGTCGGGTGGTCACTCGTGTATAAATTTAGGAAGTGGTTTTCTGATAATAAAATTAGTAATTTCTATATCTTGCTTTAAGATCCATATGCTGTAGCTCATTTATTTATTTTATTTTTTTAAAGAATGACTGCATAAATGTTACTATGGTGGGGGAAGCTTTTTCAGAAGCTGGGCCAAGTTGGCTATTTGGAACTAAAGTTAAAAACGTCGATGTTGGAAACATATGTCCATATATGGTATAGGGTTTTCTAATCAAAAGCAAAAATATAGGATATAGGAATGGGAACAAAAATTCTAATATGTGGATCTTTTGGATATTAATCTTATATTATGGAAAGATTTATTTTAGGCATGTTCTGTTGCAGGTCATCAACATCGAATACCATAAAAAAATGGATCATCCATCAAATGGCGTCTCTATTTTAGGATGCCTCAGACCTGCTTTTGCTGATGAAGAATTCTATGTAAGAAGACTATTTCATTATGAAGATAGTGATGGATACAACTCGGACTGGAAAGGTATTTTGTGTTTCATCCTGGGATGCTTAACTAATTGAGATTGAAAAACTGGATCATGCTGGCAAGCAACTTGGTTGGTGGTAATATTACCCCCCTTTTTTAACTGTGCAAGTTCGTATGCTCCTTTCGATTTCTGACATATATTGGATATGCATGCTCATTAATTTCTATATTATATTATTAGTCAAGTCAATTTTCATTTATAATAGTCAATCAGTCAGCTGATGAAATCCAATGAGGGGAAGATCTTGTTACTGTCCTAACGTAGTTATTTTTGTAATTGACATTACTGGTTATATGCATGTTGGTTATTTCTAGTTGACCTAAAATTAACTTTTTGTTTAGATGGAAAAAGTTTGAGCCTTAGTTCCAAAAGTGATCGAAGCAAGACTTGCTCCACTCTCTACAGGTTGGAGATAATGAGAATAGAGTTGTTCTCTGTATATGGTGTTCAGGCATGTTCTTTCTACTGCCATCTATTTAATTTTTACCCTTTTTTTTTCCCTTACTGACCTCTAATTTAAGTGGTTTTAAATGGAACAGTTGTGTTAAGAGAGCCTATATTAAAGTCTTTAAAAGTAAAGATCCAGAAAATGTTTCTTATGTTTTATGCAGGCAATTGGGCACAAATACATGCCTTTTCCTTACAAACTTTCTACTTCAATTTTTTCTAATAAGAAATAAAATGTCGCAATTCTTTAATTTTTATATAATTTTTCATTTTTCTGATATTTGCAGTCTACAATTAGTTTGGAAGATTTTCAAGATGCAGAACCTGATGTTCTTGTAAACGCTACCTCAGAATTGTAGATCGCTTCAATGAAAGAGGTATTAGGTGTGATGTTGCTCTTAAAGCTTTATGCAAAAGGAAAGGACTTCATGTTGAGGTAACTAATTGATTATTTATTTTGTATCCTTAAAGTTATATGCAGCTCCTTTATCTCCATACTCATTTCTAAAGTTTAGGATGTCTCTCTTTTGTGTTGTGAAGTCATGTCTCTTACTGTGTAGGGTTTAAGTATGTAGGGAATTAAGTCCTTATATCGTAAGCCTACAACATCATGAGTTTGGACTTTGATGATCTTTTGGATCAAGTATACCATTATAGGTCAGCTGAGTTGCCTAAGAGTGATAGGAATGAGTTAACTGGCTGGAAACAGTTTTTGCTTGCTAGCAAGCAGATATGTGACATGTTGAAGGCAGTACCTCTGTCTTTCGTAGCCAGTGGCTTGAAAGGAATCCTTGAGCATTTGACAGCATAGAACTTTCTTTGAGCTCAGTGCAGATATTTTTTAATAATCCAAAGCACATATATTTAATGGAAGCGGAGGTCCAGCTGAAGAGAATGTAGCAGTGGTTGATGTTGAAGTTCTCTCTTTGGTTATGAATCTTGCACCTGCTCTCGGCGAAGCAGAATCTATAACCTTGGTCGTAAATCTGACCGATACTCAGAAAATTATGGCTGAGACCATTCATAGTGGACGTCATGTCAGATAGTTCATTTCCTCAGGATTTTGACTTTTCTTCCATTGTCCTCATCATGTAGGGAAGTAAACTGAGATGTCAGTTGACATATGCTAGGATGACTAATGACGTATAATCCATCTTTACCAGACTGGATCTACCTTATGCGAAGGGGAATGAAAAGTGGATGCTTCCATTCTTCTATTACTCCTTCAACAACCTATCTTCTTGCCATAAATTTCTTTGTTCAAGGCTCTAGTAAGGGACTCTAAGCCTTTTGGCCTCTAAACTAATGCATCTGAGTTTTCCTTCTGAATTGCAGTAGCTGCAAGCAGCCACAATGGTAGACATTTCGTCTATTGCTGTTATTTTACAGGCGAACCGGAGGATGATCTAAGAATTCCTTGACAACATAACATGTCATAAGGCCATATATCTGTTAAGAAAACATTACCCTATATAAATAGTTATTCTCTAATACAGTATTTATGATAGGAATGAACAATCGAATTGTCTTATTAGTGTAGTGAAATTCGATTCACCTGCATTTGAAATATTAAGTCTTTTGTTTTTCTTTCTAGTTCTGTTGATTTATTATGTATATATATCAACCCTCTAAAGAAGTTAAAAGAATTGAATTGAATTGAGCTGGTCTTGTAATATCTCTCTCATAGGGAGCTCATTTGATCGGGGTTGACAGTCTTGGAATGGATGTTAGAGTCTTCTCAGGGTTGGAAGTACAAACTCATCGTTTTCCCTTCAAAGTCCGGGTAAGCAGTTTAAAAAGCATTTATTTTCTGTGAATTTAAAAGGCATGCCAAGTCAGGCTATTTTTCTAAACATGGACTAATGCAGTAGACTTTAACAGTTGTGATTTCGTACATCCACTTGATCATAGCTGTGTGGGATGAGAGAATGCTGTTTTGTCCTTACTTTGTGTGCGATGTTTTGTCTCTACTTTCCTGACCCTTTTTATTATTCTCAAGGGAGGCATGCGCATTCATATACATTATGTGATATTTTTTTTAGAGATACAGACAGAAGTGCATAGAATTAGTTGTGTGCATCAAGCAGTGGGTTATAGTCCTGGTTGATGTCGAAAGTAGCCAACTTAGGTTCACAGATAACTAAAGAATTTTGTGTACATGTAGGCTACATCTGAAGTTGCAGCTGAAAAACAGATTCAGCAACTTTTGTTCCCACGTTCTCGCCGTAAAAATTGAAAAGTCAGGGGCATAATTTTAGGGGCGTCGAGTTATACTAATTCTCTCACTGTGCTACTGGGAAGGAATATTTTCAGAATAAACATCAGGCTTGAATGAGGGGCATTTACTTATTTGTACGTTAGCCTTGATCCTGTACAGATGATCATTTTTCATTTTTCTTTGTTGTTTTAAACAGTTTTGGAAAGAAACAATAAGCTTGCAAGCTTGATAGGAGAGAATCTTCTTTCTGCTAGAATGTGTTTGGTGATAGAAATAAGAACATGATAATCTGTAGCTCCTTTGACCTGGAAATCGACTTCTAATTTCACAATTTTAGTGATGCTGTATTAACAAGCTGCCTTGTATTGTTTCGTTTTGAGAAAAGAAATTGTTTGCTTATTTGTATGCTTCAGGGAAAATTGCACAAATACCGCCAATGAAAATAATTTGGCAATTTGACACCCATACTTAGTTTGGGTGTTAATGTGCCCCCTCCGTCAACTTCTGTTGACTGGTTAATGCTATTGTAAATATACGAACTGAAATTCATTGTTGTGTCATGTTTCACTGGTTTTGCACGTTTTTCTTTTTACAAACATAATATAAACTATCCCTCTCTTTCAAAGAAGAAGCTAGAAGAGCAGATTTTAATCTTGCTTGTGGACCCATATAAAACAATATACAAAGCTTAAACTTTGTTTGATTTTGATCAGATTGGGGGGTGTTGATTTTCGATACGATGAAGAATGAGGGCAGTCTAGGTCGTATTTGGGATTTCACTCTCTAATTGGCCCAAGCGACTTCTATTATCATTTTGAAATAGTGAGGTGGATCGGGAGGGAATGAAATATATCTGGATCTAGAATCAAGGGGGAGAACGATATAGATAGAAAAAGGGAAGGGAAACAGAGAGAAGAGGCTTGCCGACGACAAGGAGAGGGGTTGCGTTGCACCGGTGGGGTGGTTGACAGAAAATTGAACTCAGATAGAATGGGCTTGCACAAATAAGCTTTTGAGGCCGCTCCATTTCAATTTCAATGATCTAAAACTGTCTACTTATTAAATTCTAGATCGTCTTTCAAAAAATTAGGTGAATTGTAAACCATTAAGACATTTAGTTACGATGAAATAAATAGACAATTTTTCAAGAAACACTTAAATGACTACCTTCTAATCAAATAGTTCAAACATTTTGGATTTATGTGATTTTTTACAAGGATATCTATGAACTAAGACATGAAAATTGACACTCATATTATTGAAATTCAATGCGGAATTGGCCCTATAAAGGTGTTTCCTAAGTAAAGGATCCGTTGATTGACGCTACCTACCTACCTACCAAATAATAACTATATTCCCAAAACCTTAAAAATAACAAAATTTTGTGGGAAAAATAAATTGTGCATTTACAATTTTCATGCCTCAAACAGCCATCATTCAAATTTTTGTTCAAATAACAATGCCATGAAGCCAACATTACTTCGTTTACTGCAGTGACCTTCATCTTCTCTAGTCTTCTCTAGTCAGTAACGTAGATATAGGCCCTCGAATTTTCAACAAGCAAATTCTTAATCATGATTTCCTCCCTTGAACATCTTTTCCTATGCTCTTGTTAGAGACTATTCCTTCTGCGGTGCTAGCAGGAACAATCTCATGCTTGCTGCTATCCCCTGTTTTTGAGCTCCCGGCCACTGTTGCTCCCCGACTTACTGAAGCAGCTTCCTCATCAAAATGTTTACTTCGCTCTGCACCTTCGTCCGCAACATCAGCACGCTGTTGATCCTCTTCTTTGTCACCCCTGTACCAAATGTAAAGGACCGTGCATAATGAAGCATACATTAGTGTCTGCTAGCACAAGAGGTAGATTAAAAAGAAAAATACTCGTGTTCAACAAAAACTATGAATCACAGGACCAAACAAGTGGCAAGCAGCAATCCTTTTTTATTTATTTTTTCTTTCAAGCTGAGGTCTAGTGTAATTACTAGGCTTCTACCTATGTTAGCCAACATAAATCCCATAAAACAACATCCTTTCACAAATCTCATTCTGCCTAGCTACTTCCTAGATTAATTATGCACGCAGTCGTAATTATGTCAAGTGTGAGGTTGTTTGTGCAAGTCGACATGCTCAAAAGTACAAAAACAAGCTTTGACCTATTCGCATTTAGCAGGTTCATTCACAAGCCATGAGAAAGAAAAGAAACTCCAAAGAGAATAAAAGCTACGTACCCTGAATAAATAACAAGCCCAACACAAACACCAGCGAAGGCCACAAAGTACATCCAATCAACCTGAGACGATTCTTGGCTTAGAAAGGCAATTGCACATTTTATATAAAGAACTTACAGATGACTGAATTTTTCACGATGGATTTTCATGATGAAAAATAATGATGCCAATACAATTAGCTTTCGGACCTTCTCATGGTAAGCAAAAATGCGAATTAAGACTGCCCACATGTCTGAGGTCAGCAATGAGAGGTTTAACATTGTGGACCCATTAGTCTGCAAGGACAAACAAAATTCAGTACATAAAGTTCTATAACAATAGTACATAACAGCATATTCATTTTCTTCGCTTTGTTTTGTTAGGAAAACTTGTTCCCATGATCGAAATTAAATTAGCCAATTCTTAAACTGCTGTACAGAGGTGCAGGGCTGATAATCAGCAAGCACACCGCTGTAAGCAAGCATGAGTTCATAAAAATGTCTCTGTCCTCAGGGGTTACATGAACAAGTCTTTTCAAACTGCTATTACAATTAAAAAGAGTGAGAGAAACTACCGAGGTACAAATTTTACTGAGAAAATAGTACACGGAAGGAGGACACAACTGCTACCAAACTGAGAATTCATACTTATAATGAATTATCGTTTTTTTCTCTTCTAAAAAACTTATAAATGAATTTTCATAAGACTCGAAAAGCAAATAAAAATTAACGTTCACATACACCAAGCTTCTGACAACTCATCCCTGTTAGAAATAGGGGCACACATCAACTGTTAGAAACCTCGTACCTTTAGTAAGACTGGGACAAATGAGTAAAACAGGAACATGGCCACTGAAAATCCAACAAAAGGAAGTGCCTGACATTAACATGGACAAAATAATGTCAATATGCAAGCATAACCATCTGTAAGTCGTCGTCATCAATGTTCAAATTTCTTATTTATACAAAAAATTTGTTTTTTTAAAAAAAAAAAAAAAAAAAAAAAAAAAAAAAAACTGCTTATGTAATCCAAGGTGAAGGAAACTATTAGTATTTGTCCTCTGGAATAAATTCCGTCATACATGGTTTCATTAATCTACTATTAGAGTACATTTTGGCTGGATTGCAGAGATATGATATTAGAACCTATCATGTGTGTTATTGGTAGTCTGAGCAACCCACAAATCCCTCAACAAGCCCAGTGGGACAGCCCATACCAAATTCTAAGGGTTGACCAATGGGTCCTACTCTGCTAGGTCAGATCAGTGCAATCTAAGCAGTGGAGGAAAATGCAGAATGACTATCAGCTATTGAGAACCAGCTTGTCAATCTGAGATGACTGTACTGGTCCAGATCAGCCGATTGACCCCTACTTCATGGTTGGGGGCCATGTGCCTCCTCATAAAAAAGTGAATGTACATCACAGAGTTGTGTCAGACGACAGCGGTGTACTCCTGGTTCCCATACCGACAATGGCCTCCTACATGGTCAACTCTATATAAATCCAGGGGATTCAAACCCAAGAGAAAATTCACAGTTTGCCTATCATATATACTCTGCAAAAACTACTCCATACACCAGCTAGACTAACTTAGCCATCAGTGCCAATTTGGCAGGCACCAAATTGGTATCCCCTCCAGTAACCTTCTCCCCTTATGTTCTTGCAGGTAGTCCATAGTGTTCCTGTTGACGAAGACCTTCAACCAAGTGAAGTTCTTCCATCAACAATGAGTTTCTCAGGATCTATCACATTATGTGAGAGAGAGAGAACTTTAATTGAAAATTGTCTCTGCCAAAGGGATAGACTTTGAACCATTTGTAGAAAATCAACCACAGATATTAGCAACCTACAATTTGTAGAAATGCAACCCCAGAGAGAGAGAGAGAGAGAGAGAGAGAGAGAGACATACTGCCCCAGCTGACCAGTGAATGGATTTGAGCTCATTGCGCTCCAGTATGCTTCTATAGAAATCATTAAGGGCTACAACTTGAAAACAGAATCGCAGTATAAAACACTCAATACCACTTTGCAATTGATAACTTCTTTGTATTATGACATTCAAAGCACAATTTACGGAAATCAAGGTGTAAAGTAATTCATTAAAAGCTGCAAATATAAATGATCAAATAAAATCCCACATAAGCAATTTCTCCAGCCACAGAATTTTCTAAGAAACAATCAACATAATCAACTAAAAAAAATTCACAGATGTCCACAAGTTCACCAAGAAGTCATAGTTCTTGTAAATATTAGATGCCTAGGCCCAAAAGCAAAGGATACATTTGGATAGCACTGACAATGGCACCAAAAAAGCCCAGCATGGCCATGAGTTCAACTCTGTCGGCATTCTTTACTAGAAACTCCTGCATAAGAAATGGGAATCAAGAATTAACTATGCAAACGCGAAGTAGCATCTATATGAAGACTTTCCCCATGTTAACCCTTTGTTTAGTAGATATCACATGATGATCTATGATAATGCAAATAGGCACAAGCTTCAACCTCATTGTCATATTAAGCAATTTTTTTGTCATTCCTGGAAACCAGAATGATTGTATGTTTACTTACCTCACTGACATTACTAACAGCATAGAGCATAGAACCAGCAATTACTAGTACATCTCCTAAACGGGGGTTGCTCCCTCCTACAAGCCATAACGGTACATATAACATCAGAAAACCACTCAACAACGACATACATATGATACTCTACCAACAACTTAGTTATCTACTGTTAAAAGTTATAAACCAACCAAACCAAGATAAATATAAAAAGCTACATTGGACTAGACATATGTTGTTTACCTGCTCGGTCACCTGCATGAACATCTGAAAAAACAACCATGACAAGGCCAGCAACACAAACCACCACCCCGGTTATCTTTCTGAATCTATATTTTGTTTTTAAGAAAACCCACGTAAGAAGCATAACGGATGGGATAGACCAACAATCCAGCAGCATTACACTTGTTATAGATGTATATTGATAAGCCTTCACCACTGCAGAACAAATTATATCAATTATTAAAAATGAAATTGTTGTAGCAAACAAATTTATCTTCAAATTAGCACCAAGAAAAAGCGAACAGACACTCTTCTTATAGGTAAAGATTAAAGAAATGGCAGTTATCCAGTTTCTTAATTCAATAAGCAGAACGCATGTTAGGATTGACTACACTATCACTGTACTTCTAATTCTGTGGTTGCAGTGGTACTTTCTGTTTATATGATGTTGTTTTGTTTTCCAGATCTTTCATTACTGAATTTCTTCATTTTCAAGTAATCCGTCAAATGGCAGTCATACAAAAGTGCAGTGACGAGAGCCAGGAATTCATCTTCTTTTTTTATATTTTTAATCGGGGGGGTGAGGGTGAGATTACTGATAATATAAATATCATCTAAGAAAAGGGTATTACATAGAACCAAAGACCAATGCAATGTTCGAACGTAAGAAACGCATCCTCAGGATTCCACAAGTTGCAAAATACCAGTCCAATTTAAAATGATAAAACAAAGGATATAAGTTCACTCAAAATAATAAGATACATTTCCAAAATATGAGTAGTTAAATACATACCTAGAAAATTGGCCTCCACATCTACCATTCCCAGAAGCACATAGTAATACCATTTAGCCTGCACAAATTCCAATTTGAGATAAAGAACAAGCCTTTATACAATGTTTTTTTTATGATTTAAGAACATTTTGGTTGGTTACATTGATAATTCTGCCGTAAACTAATACTTAAAGGTTCATTTTTTAGACTTTTGAGCCAACTGAATTAGCTCTCTCTTAAATTAAACCAATAACATCATTGTTCAGATCAAAACCCAGAACCAATTGACAGACATCATAATCATAACGTCCACCAACCAAAATCAGTCAAGTTTCTCATGTGTCACTGGAAGGCACCCCTTACCAGGAAACAAACAAGTTTTATATGCTTGTGATGCATCATTTTGGACAATCATCGATGCATGGAAATCATCCCAATGGGCAGGTTCTATCACATTTTTTTTGGTAATTTCATTTACTACTACTACCAAGAATCATCATCTGGTTAATTATACCTGCACTATCCACAATCACTAATTCTAACAAATCCCCTTCAAAGGAGTCACAGTTACAGGGTCTAACAAATCCCCTTTGCCACAAAGCATACACTTTTTGTGTAAACTGCTAAATAAATGCGCCTTGGGGCAAAAACTCAACGCTTCACGAGTGAGGTGCGTTTTTTAAAACACTTACTACATTCATTTTCTGAGTCTGCTGCTTAACAAACTACAATACAATAAAATTTCTGCACCATCCACAATCACTAATTCTAACAAATCCCATTCAAAGGAGTCACAGTTACAGGGTCTAACAAATCCCCTTTGCCACAAAGCATACACTTTTTGTGTAAACTGCTAAACAAATGCGCCTTGGGGCAAAAACTCAACGCTTCACGAGTGAGGTGCGTTTTTTAAAACACTTACTACATTCATTTTCTGAGTCTGCTGCTTAACAAACTACAATACAATAAAATTTAAGAATACTAAAACTTAGTCAGATATGGGTCTCTCGAATCAAATTGTATCCATTCGACTACACAAAGAAAAGGAAATCATATCAACTATATAAAGAGAAAAGGCAACCATATAGAGGCACAAAAGACAACCTTAAGTGGTTTCCTTCGGTAAAGCATTATAGCTCCATAGACAATTGCCAAGAGCACATAGTTCAGAAAAGACTGCGAAGTAGGTGCATTAATTCCTACAAAAATCACCAAATGAATTATCAAATCAGAGTCCCCTTCAAAAGACCTTATATTTTGAATGTACAAGGAACACAATAAACAATTTAGTGAAAAGAAGAGTACATGATAAGACAACCTTATATGCATCACAATAAGAAGAGTTTCACTAGAATTTAAAATATAGAAAAAAGATAATTCCACAACATGAACCTTAACTCATTAGCAATCATACACTGATCATATTGTTACACTCATTGCACACACAACTACTTATTCGCATTTACAGAAGTTTAAAATTACATACTGCAATCATCCATAAATATAAAAGTCTATACAGCACAAAAACAAATAATAAGACAATCAAACCTTTTTTGGCTAGCTCAGAGGATGAAAAGCCAGTGGAAGTGATCAAAAGCGAGAGAAATTGGCCCAACCCGAGACCTACCAATGTCTTCTTTACCCAAAACTCTTTGAACATCATCATATTCGTTAAATAAATAAACAAAAATCCAAGAACAACCCAAAGTTCAAAGGTTTTGCAAGAACCCAACAGTGTGAAAGGCTAGATACGCCGAACAAAACGGTGAAAAGCCAAAAACTCAAAGACCCATTTATAGGAAATACACTCCCGAGTGTTGGTGAGGTCCAAAGGGATGGAATTTGCTCAAATTTCAAACACCCAATAGCAGTTTTGATGTTTGCGTATGACCCAAGAACTCAAAGGGCCTTAGCAAGATAGTGGAATGAATGAAAGGGAATGTGAAATCGAGGTTTAGCTGCAATCCATATTGAACCAACGGCTCAGCTGAGTTCCCAAATTCTACATTGCACTTGCGACTGTGTTTCCAGCCGTCGAATTTTGGGGAATGCCTAGCAATTTTGATTCGTAAATAATTTTCATTTCAAACAAATTTTTTTAAAATTTTTTTTTTAAAGTCTTTCATTATGTCCTTTTGTTTCCAACTATTTATCGTTTTACTTTTGCTACGCAATCATATGCGCAGAATATAGTGGCAAGTTGGCAACTGATAAGAGGATTTATAATTTAATAATTTTTGAAGATTGAACAAATTATATTACGAAATAACATTATGTGTTATAGAATTTTTTATTTTTTTTATTTTTATTAAAAAGGACATGATTGAAACTCAGAATCTTTAATGACTAGAATTTAGGAAGGAGTCATGGGTAAAAAAAATTAAGCAAGAGCCTTGTAACTCAAGCGTTCCATTTATCTTATTTATTCTTGCTTTGACGTAACGAGTCAATGGATTCTCACCAAAGTGGTGGTGGCTCCCCCTTCTCCTCATGGCACCCAAGTTCAAAACACATTATGAAATCGAAAGAATTAATGATGTTGTATTAAATTACTAAATTTTTTAATAATTTTTAAAACATTCTTATATTAAAAGGCAAGTTTTGTCAAAACAGTAGAGAGCAAAACATTGTGCTTGCTTTTTATGTTTGACTAGCTCCGCCAAGCTGACGAATAATTACAGTGTCTTGTATAATTAAATATCATTAAAATAGTTTGATTGATGTGGTGATGTCAACTAAAAAAGCATGCATTATCATGAATGTAAACTGTGGGGCCCCTAGAAACTAGAGGACGACCAGAGGGGAGGATTGGAGGAAAAGCATCCTTTTTGACCCTGAAGATGCGCTGGTCCGTGGCCGTAGTCCATAGTGGAGCATAAAGGAAAAGTTGCATTCCCCCAAAATTGAAAAATCATGACAAAGGAATGGACATAAAGCCTGTTTTTGGAGTTGGTTGTTGAGGGTTGACGTTGAGTATGCAATTGAATCATAGTTGTTTTTTCTTTTTTTTTAACAAAAGAAAAACATAGTTGGGTGCTGGGAATAGGGTTGTAAATGTTATAAAATTAAGAAGATTTTGAAGAGAAATTTGGAAGAAGAGAAAACAATGGATGAACAATTCCAAAAGCTCAACTATGAGTTCCTACTCATCTAATCTCTTGTGTTTTTCATTCATTTTTTGTGCCTATTTATAGGCATAGGAAATACATAGTTTACTAACTATATAAGTGGTAGATTTCAATCACATCACAAAGGTATAGTGGGAGAAGTAAGTATGGTCGGTATATGGTGGACATCCATCTTAATATGGATTTACAATACTCCCTCTTGGATGTCCACCATGCATGGAATTGTTAGAAATATGCTCTTAAAGCCAACTAATTATGTAATAGTTAGAGTTAAGGACATTTTTTTTTATAAAAGACATTATATTATCAATTGGCAAGAAAAGTTGTTTTATACATTAAATCATCCTATATTATCTTTCAATATGTAGAACAATCATAGTCCAATGAATACATAAGTGGATATGAGAGCTATGTAACGAGATTGCATACATGGAGACTTCTCATCATCCCTAAATCCTGAATATGTTCATGGTCATAGGAATATTGATTGGGCGTCAATATTCCGCAAAGACCAGAACACACAGTATCGTCTCTATATGTAGGGAATGGCAAGGTCTCAAGTCATTAAGTGTGGAGACACATCAATATGTGTGTAGGTGCTTATAGAAGAACAAGTACACTGAACGCGATCCAACACATGAGTTACAATATGGAAGTCTTTACTCACATGTCAAGCTAGAACTCATAAATTGCAATGGTGCAAACTAATCCTTAGACTTGAGGCATCATAGATGTTTTGTGGCTATGTTGTTAATCTTTGAGGGCACTATACGATCATGCTGAATTAGGCATAGATTAAAGGTGTTCATCAGGATTCTCAATAAAGTCATGGAAGCATATGAATGTACAACAAGGAATCTCTACTCTCAGTAAAGGAGAGAAAATACTCCAAGATATGATTGGTCAAATCTCTGCGCGGAGTAGTGGATAAGACTTGAAAGAAGAAGTTTTCAAATCTTACTAGGATGATCATATAAAAGGAATGATTCACATTCCATGATCTAATAATGTGAATAAGAAGTATTGACATAAGAGAAGGATTCAATTGCACGGTTATTCCAATTTGAATAAGTTCTTTCACAACGTCTCATTTAGCTCGGATAACCGTGACTTGCTGCTAGGCGACAATCATGGTTTGTGGATGTCCTAAAAGGTTTCAACTAACCTTTATTAATATGAAGAATTTAATTGTGGAATTTAATTCGTATATCATCTCTAAGGAGTTGAGTCAACCCATTACCTTACTAAAGGGAACCTACGGATTTGCACACCCGAAGAATGTGATTAGAGGTACAAATGAGAAGAAATGAAATGAGGAGACACAAGTCAATGGTTGATAATCAAAATATCAAAGTCAAAGGTCAAAAGTCAACATGTTGACCGGAGCAATTGACCAAAGTCAAATAGTTCGATCATGACAATTAATAAGACTATAATTATAATTTAATAGTTAAATTAGAGTGGTGATTTCCCCACTCTAATTTTATCCACTTACACTCTATTTTATAACTAAAAAAGGAGTGTAAGTGGATAAAATTGGAGTGGGGAAATCATTATCCTTAAATTATAATTAAAAGATTAATTATGGAATTAATATTGACATATAGAAATATTGGATTGGGCTTTTAAATATGATTTAAAAAGGAAATGGAAAAAATAGTCCAAAAGGCTATTGGGGATAAGTGACATAAGATGACATGACCCATAGACCAAATGGAGCCCCAATACACACCGAAAATTTGGCAACTAGGGAGAGCTCTCCCCTTGCCTTTTTGTGTTATCCTATATAAGCTAAGTGTTGGAGAAACCCTAGTTAGAGTTTTTAGTTTCCTACTTTAGTTAATGAGTGATCATCTTTGTATCTCATCTTCCATAAACCAAAAATTGGTCCAATCAAGAAGTAGACTAGTATCCATACTTCTTGATTGCCTTCTCTTCATCTCTATGAGCATTTGGTGTGGTGAGGTAGAGGACTTCAATCTTGGAGCCTTAAGGTGAAGGAGTGAAAATCAAGATAAACAAAAGGTCTTTCCAACAAAGGTGTTCATTCTTGAGAAATCAAGAAAAGGTCATCAAAGGTAAAGATCTATTCCCTTTTTCCCTTTTCTATTTGTGTTCAAAGAGACTAGGCTAAGATACTTGGTCTAAAATGAAAAAGGTTTAGCTCAACTAGTATAAACAAAATGAATCCGCCATTTAGAATGTTTTTGTTGTATAGGTTGTGGATAAAGTTCATTTCCTAAGCATTATATGCATGTTTCCTTCAGGATGTTGAGCAATAAGGCCCTTTCACTTTTAGTGCTTCTGGTTCACTGTTCACGCAAAATATTTTGTTCTTATGATCGCTCTGAAGCATTGGTTCTGTTGTAGCGGCTTTTTTTTGTTCCAGCAGCTATAGATGGGCATAAGCTGCTGTAAAGAGCAAATGGATGAAGTTGCCCATGTGCCTGAGTTTAAGAATCAGGCCCCAAGAGTGCTTCGAAAAGTTCGTGGAGTCTTAGGAAGCACTTTGGTTTCTTTCACCATTAAGATAGAGAACTGCTTACAAATCAATATTATGGTGTGGCCTAAGAAACTTGTGACATGGGAGCTGAGTGTTCATGAGTTTAGCATTAGATAGAGAAAGCTTGGATTTCTTATGATAAACAAAGGTTCAAAGCTAGGGGAGAGGGAAATTTGGGAAGAATTGTTGAGGGAAGAGAGGAGGATGAAAGGATGGGTAGCTTAAGAAGATTTTCTAGCAACTTGACGATTACTTGGTCGTGTTCTAGATGATTTGCCAGAAGAGAAGAGAAGAAGATAGGAGAACATGGCTTGAAATTGAAGGTTCTAGCAGTGAGTGAGGATGCTTGCTCGTTCTGGATGTGTTGTTCTACTAGGTAGGAGATGCCCCCTTTTACAGGCGCTAGAAGCTCCTTCCCAATAAACCCTAGTTGGTTCTCCCCAATTTTGCTAAGTCTTCTCCTCCATTTCCCTTCACTTCCTTTAATTCAACTCCTTTTTATGAAATTTCCTTAATCCAAACACACTAGGACAAGATTTTTTGGAGCTCCAGAGTCTTCCTACAGCTAGTCTCTACCACACCTTCCATCTCTGGCAACGCTCTCTCCTCCTTTCCTTTCTTATTTTCTGGCACAAGTTGGTAGAGGAAAGAAATTGGTAAAGGTGCTGATCTGAAGGGTGTTTTACTCCCAGTAGCCTCCACACGTGAATTTCCTTTGGTTTTAACAATGGTTTGTCTTGGATTTGGCTCTAGTAATATGCTGGAGATTTTCAAGATGTTGGGCCACTTCCTAAGGTGATGGGCCACTTTTTCTCTCTCATGCTTACCCATATGTTCGAGCTCAAGAAATGGGCTCGAGTTTTGGTGCTCCCAAGCAGCCCAAAACTTCCACTTCTTAGACCATCAATAGGCCCGTGAATACTCGTAATCATCCATACCACAGCCCGTTCAGCAAGCCCCAGACATTCCCATAACTTGGGCCCACTTAAGCTTGTAGCGTGGCTTGGTGCCAAAGTAAAGGTTTTTCGCTTGGCGTTGCGTATTATTTGGTGTGCTTGTGCTCGAGATTTGCTGTATTGTAATGGGCTATGGCTGGGCTAAATGGCACTCGACGGGATAATAAGCGCGGGTTCATAGAGCTAGTACATTTTACAAGCTTGTTACGACCTTTCTACATGGTGGATTACGTATTTGTTTGGCATGTTGCGTGGATCATAACTCATGCAAGCATACACGACAAACTCTTGCATACCCAAGTCGGACTTCTTCCCTAGTTAAGTGTCGTACTGGGCCAGAAATATATTAGGGCCCAACCTTGGATTTTTTAGGCCTCAACATCTGCAAAGACTCTTTTTATCCTTTATCTGTTACCGCTGAGTAGCTGGGTTTCATTTGTAATGTTTATCACTCTTTGTCTTGTTAGATTTAGTTTTCCGATTTATTGTATGCAAGAACCTCCATTTGGGATGTATTCTTCTTGTACATCTCTTGTATATATTTGCCCATATATTAATGAAATTATGCTTGTTCTATTAAAAGACATAAAAGAAAATTCCCCATTATTGTCTATTCCAAAGAAGAAGAAGAAAAAAAAGGATTTTGTTGTTGGGGTGGTAAATAGCCCACAGACAAGGCATTGGTCTAGTATGCTCTTATGGGCCATAATAGATGAGGGTCAAAATGGTCATTACACCTTGAGGGCCAACCAGGTCCCACCTTTCAGCATATTTCCTTATGCAAGTAGGAAAAGTAAAGAACTCCTAATACAAGCAAAAAAACAAATTCAAACACATAAATAAATAAATAAATAACAAATATTTGTCATTGATTGTTAAAAATGGCGAAATAAAAAACAACAACAGCAGGAGCAGGAGCAAGCTGCAGCATAAGCAGCAGCAAGAGCAGAGAGAAGCCATTGACGATCCCAAATTCAATTAATTTCTTCTCAGAGTTGGAAGTAAATGCAACAAAGCTTCTTGTACAACTCAATGGATCATCGTGCTGCAATGGCGGCAGCACTGAAGAAGAAAGCAAAAGCAGAGCAACTCCTCCTTCTCATCATGATGATCTGGTGTGGTTGTCGTTCTCCAAATACAAAACATTAGGGCTTGTTTGATATTCTACTTGGATCCAATTTTATAAACTCAAAAATAGATTTTAAGTCCAAAACCACACAAATCCGTTTGGTAGGCCTATTTTTAAAAACTCAAATCCAAGAAAAACTAAAAAAAACACACCCCATTAATAAAAACAAAAAAAAGTGAGATTTTATATATTTTTTCTCTCTCCTCCCTCTCTCCACTCGCTCTCTCGTGTCTCCCTCTCTCCACACTCTCTCTCTCCTCCTCCTCTCCAAGCGCGCGCACTCTCTCTATCTCTTGAGGATGAACCTTCTCTCTTCACTTCACTCTTTAATTGGTTTCTTCATTTTCTATTTCAGTTCAAAAAATTGGTCAATTAATATCATAATTATCTCTATTATTATAAAGCAAGGCCAAAAACAGTTGAGGTCACAGACTTCACCAAAAAAATTTGGACAAAAACTCCCCCAAAACAAAAAAAATCATAACTATCCTTCATAACTCAAATATCCTATCTGAGTAGTCTTCTTTTGCTCCATCCTCTTTCTATATTACAAGATTATATGGTGGTGTTCCTTTTCTTCAAATTAAAGGTAAGGATTATAATATCTCTTAATTTTATTTAGTTTGTTTTTTTGATTGTTTATTTTTTTTTTTTTTTTTTTTTTTTTTTTTTTTTTATTTTAGTTTTGCTGCAGGAAACTGTAGAAACTGCAAATCTCTGTTTGGCTTCCGAGAAGATGAAGAAAAAGAATCAAAATAGTTAAAAGGTTCAATCCGATTGCATTGTTGTTCTTTCTTCAGAAATTATAACATGTGAAAGGGCTTATATGTTGTGATTCAAAGCCTAGCTTGCTTATTTTGTTTGTTTTCTTGTATTGTTTCGTAGAATTTTGGAAGAGATTGAAGGCCATCATCATGCATGTTGTTCAGGAGCATATGAAGTCCTACTACCTGCTACATATAATTGATTTACAAACATTTATGCCATTGCCAGTGGCAAGAAAAATGAACATTCATGTAGCTTTTCTTTCCTTAATTTAAGAATTCACATATTTGTTTTTGTTCATTAAGAATTGACTGATCTATTTTTCTTTCCATTTTTATGTTCATTTAATTTTGTACTTTTGCAAAGGCAGCAATTAATGTGTAGTTTAACCATAACTTTGCCATGCTACATAAGATTAGAACCTCAACCTTTTTGCAGATGATGCATAAACAGTCACATTTCAACGGTCAACTTCCTTTCTTGGGAAGCAATTAAACCTTTTATTAAAAAATAATTACTGAAAATGCCCCAAGAGAGATCACCATGATTCCAACTAACTACCAAAAAAAACTCGCCATATGTCCATTAAGCTTTGGGCCGTTGTGTGCGAATAGATTTGAATTCTACTTGGGATGGTAAAAATCCTATTGGGTCTCAAACTCCAAACAAGGAGATTTTAGGGGAAAATCAAGGACGGGTGTGGAGATCATCGAATTTTAAAAGTTGATGATTGGCAACAGACCAAAGATGGTATTGTTATTCCCATCTTTGTATTCACTATTTCCTACACACATGTTATGTAGAGTCGCTCTTCATTGCTATATGACTACACCATAACTCCTTCGACACTCTTCATTCCTCCTCCTTCACAGTCGTCTTCCTTCTTTGATTCTCTCTTGTTTCTCAGCGAGTTAGTGACTAAAAGGAAAAAGTTATCTTCTTTCTTGCTTCTCTTATATGTTGATTTTTTTATGCAGTTAGCTTCAAACTCTAATAATAACGAAGTTAAAAGAGTTACCGTTCAAGATGAGGAGGTTGATAATAATAAGGAATATGTAACATTCTCATATTTAATGACTCTCTTTAAATAAAAACAATTAAAAAGGGTTTTCTCTTATGGTTATGTTCCCATTATCTTTTGAATAATTATAATGTCTTTCTTTTATATATGGTTAGGTTCTTGTTCAAGAGTCTATCAGTGAAACGGAGAACGTGTCTTTGTATTTTAATTGGAGCTATGAATGAGGAAGCATAAGAGTTCATTGAAATTGTGGGATTTTATTTGATGAATGTGTAGTTTGTTGTTAATATTTTTTAGTGGTAGGTTTTATAATGGTTGACTTGGATTTACTTGTGCTTACTTTTTATTAAGTTGTGGACTTATTTTGTTTTGTGAGATCATGATGGACTTTTTGGTTTCTCTTTTGTTGATGAATGAGTACGATTGTGAACTTTGTAAGATATCGAGGGCGGTTTGGACTTTTTCATTATATGATTTTTATTAGTTTTTCAAATTAACTTATAATTTTGAGTATTGAATTGAATTTTATAGTTCAATTGAATGTCATTGTTCCCTCTTTTCAATCGATGGGAGGAGTGTTGTTACTTCTTTGGATAAGTGTGTAGGCGTGCCACCACCAAGTCACAAATTTAGTGTGAATGGAATATAGTAAATTGAGCTTAGACCCATAAAATTCATTTAAAATTACCTACAACCCTTTCCTTTAGTTTTCTATTTAAAATGCCCAATTTTTTCAAATAATACCCGATAACTAGAATCCAACTAAGCAAGTTACCTAATATAACTTAAAATCAAATTTATTATATTTTTCGGATTCCAAAACTACCCCTATTTATAAGTTAATGTGTTATGGGGGGTGTAACTAATGACACCCGTTGAATTTGGAAATATCTCAAAATAGTTGTAATGGATGTAGAACTAATTTAGAAACTTATTTGAAATTAAATATTAAATTCCACATTAAAGTATTAGTAATCTATTTTACAACTAGTAATCTATTTTTGAATTAATGGTGTTTTCCTTTTATGAATTACGACTAATAATCTATTTAAAGTATTAATAATTTAAATTCAATATTAAATTTAGGAATTAATGTTGTTTTCTCTTTATGAATTATACGACCAGTATTCTTTTTTATATTAGTTTTATGAATAATAGTGTACATTCTAATTATGTTGAAAAATAATTTGATAATCTATTTATTGTTTTGTTTTTAAAACATTTTTTTTAATGAACCTATTTTTTCTCCAAATATTGTACATATTTTTTTTTCTTTATTACTTGTTTTATGAACAATAATTTGATCATCTTTTTATTGGTTATTTTATGAAAACAATTTTTATTTATTCAAATGAGCCTATTTTTTCTCTCAAAATAATGTTCCTATTTTTTTTTCTCCAAAATGTACCTAGTAAAACAATTTACCTAGTATAATGAACCTATTTTTTTTTTCTCTAATAATGTACCTATTGAAATGGGGTGATTAATATGTTATTAATAGGGAGTTTTAATTACAATTATGGCAGTTAATGAAATGCTTGTACTAAATTATATATAAAATATAAAGTCTAATGGCAAGGATGTAAAAACATAGGAATACTACGACCTCTTATATCCTACTGGTCATTTAAGTTTGAAATTGGGTTTTACATATAGATTTATAGAATAATGGGTATATGTCTAGGAAATAGAAATTATTGGGACCTATATTGGACAAGCGCGTAGATGATGTGTACAAGATTTGATTCTAATCAAATAAATTTTCGGCCATGCAAGGAACCTCCTCACGGTCAAGTTTTTATGTGAACAATCAAGTAATGTGAAGTGGGTGTAAATGATTATCTTATTATTTTATTTTATTTATGTTAAGATTCAAAGCCATGGTGTAAGTGTGGCAGGTGAGAATATGGCAGAAGAAACATGTTATGAAAGCAGAGGTTAAAATTAAGCTGGAGCAAACTAATGCCAAGTACGAAGCAGCTACAAACAAACATAGGTGGGTGAAGGTATTTAAGGAATGAGCCTTTGTGATGGTGTTCCTGAGGGAGGAGCAGTTTTCAATTGGTACCTACAATATATTGAAGCCAAGGAAGTATGGTCCACACTGGGTGCTTAAGGGCATCAATGATAATGCTTATGCGGTGGATCTTCTAGATTCCATGGGGATTTCTAGTACTTGCATGTTGCTGACTTATATGAGTTCCGTGGTGATAATGAGGCTTTGTACCATGAACATGGGTCGAGTTCTTCTCAAGCGGAGGGCACTGATATAGAACATATGGAAGAAAGAATTCAAGTGCAGCTTGATAGGCATAAACCAAAAGATAGTAAAATACAAAGTGTGTACATTTGGGATCCGAGTTCTCTCATCTTTCCTGTGGACTCTAGAATGTTCTCTTAAGGTTACGTTTGATTTCCTTTCATCATTAGTTGGATTTAGTTTGTACTTTTTTTTTGTGTGAAATTTTTCCTGGTGGACTCAACCCAAGAGGATCATCATAACTCTGAAAACCCAGCCCATGATCTGAGAACACTGGCTTATCTCATTCATGTGTATTATTCTAGTGGTTATAAGTTATAACCAATAAATCCAGGGTAGAAATTTGTATGAACATGCAAGTTACCAATGAGTCGAGGTTTCATGATTGTAATTATCAAGTAGTGTTAACAATTCCAATCTCCAAGCAAACGCGCATGTGATTGGGGTGGATATGAGTTGAGTTGGGTTGGTTTTAGTTCCAACTTGTAACCCAACTCGATATATAGCAGTTTATATATGATTTCTTGGATTCAAGACCCGCTCATTAATAAACCAACCCAACTCAACTCAAACTTTTTATGATCGAGTTGGGCAGTTCGGTCGGGTTAACTCAAAATTAAGCATACTTTTAAGTTTTGGTTCCAACCCGTTTATAGCGATTTATGATTTTCTGAACCCTAGACCCGCTCATTTTTAGGCCAACCCAACCCACTATGAGACAATTCGATCTAGTTAACTCGAAATTGTGCCCATCCCTACATGTTGAGTTAGAAGGCAAAAACAATTGTAGGATATAATACTTTTGGCTTACTCTCTTGGAAGTACTCATTCCAAACTTACATGAAAATCATATTTGAGTGAGTTATCTCAATTGGTGCATTTTGTTGAATTTTACGTACTTAGCATAAATGGTAGTGCACACACCACAATTTCCTCCTCAAAAAGTTACAAATTCATTCATGGTAGAATACCGTACAAGTTAGCTCTTTCAATCCAATATTACAAGTATATGATATTTACACTTAAGAAATATTTTGGTTGAGAAATTGGGAGAACTAACCATTTCTCTAACACCTTCATGAATTTTAACCAACTTTTTTCAAGATTTAGAAATATAGTTACTTCAGGCAAGCTTCCTCAAACCTTCTCGAAGCCCTTAAAAAAAAGGTGTGAAGTCCCCTCAAGTTAATAAAAATTTAAAAAATCTAACTCTTTTAACATTAATTTGGGTACTTTCCAAAATTTCCCCATTATGTTGTGTATCTCCCAAAAAACAGAAACATTTTGTTGTCCCTCAGCCGCTGGTAAGAATTGACCTAACATAACCCCAAAAACATTTTCTTGTCCCTTAACCGACGGACTTGGCCTTGAGACGAACAGGCCACCTTTGTTTGATTGAACAAGGCATTTTATTGGTCCGACAAGTGTTATGGACCGAAATAGCCCAGGGCCAAAATGGTCATTTCGTATTTTTCCTTGTGCAACTAGGAAATCCTAATTCAAACGCTACAAATAAACGCCGACTTACTCTGCCTATGCGCGTGTGTGTCTCTATATAAAGCAAACGGCACCTGCAACTTCTTCTCATCTCTCATCATCGATCGTCGATTATCAACTAATTTATTATTATTAAGAACATAAATTATAAAAACGCAAATTAATGTTAAAAATGGGCGCAGCAGCAGCAAGCAGAGAGAAGCCATTGATGATCCCAAATTCAAATAATTTCTTCTCAGAGTTGGAAGTAAACGCAATAGAGCTTCTCGTACAGCTCAGCGGATCGTCGTGCGGCAATGGCGGCAGCACTGAAGAAGAAAGCGATGTCAAAAGCAGAGCAGCTCCGCCTACATTATTCGCTGAAGACGAAGACGAAGACGAAGTGAGTTTCGGACCGAGGAAGAAAAGGTTCCGGTCAATTTCGGAACTGTACAAGTTGATAGAGCCTCTTAATCTTGTCATTGTTGCAGCAAAGGAAAATAAGAGGAAGAGGAAGAGGAGCATCTGATCAATTTAACTTCCTGTTGTTGTTAGACTAATTAATTATTATTGTAATTAACCTCAGCTGTTAAGCTAATGATATGTGATTAGTATTCGTATCATAAAGGGAACTTTCTTTCTTGGGAAGCAATTAAACCTTTTAAAGCTCCGGGACGTTGCAACGTGGCATCCTGAGTTATATGTTATCCAGTTAAAACATGCCACGTGGCAGGCTCGTAATTACCAAACCGTGTTGGAAAGAATTGTAAATCTCCCCAAGCAAGCAGGCAGGCGTGTTGAATTGGATCAAAAGGCAATATAATAGCGTCAACGACGAACCAATCCATTCTACGACCAAGCTGTGAATTCTGCCAATTGCTGCAAATTTTTTTAAAGATTACATAACAATGGTAGTGCACACATCGCAATTTCCTCCTCAAAGAGTTAGCCATCCGGTACCAATCCCAGGTATCCGAGTAATCAGTGAACTCAATCTCCGTCGTGCAAAATCTATATATATAAAGCAAAAGGCAGAGAATGGTGAAACATTCAAAATACCATAAAATGCCCTTGATTAATTCAAATATTAAGAATTGAAATTATTAATTAAATGAGGATAATATGATAAATTCACATTTTTTTCATATTAAAACAATTAAAATTTAAAACAAAATAAAATAATAAGTCCTAGTTTTATGGAACATAATTACCCATATTATATTTTTTTAATTTTAAAAATGAAATATAAAAATAAAAATAAAACCAATTGGCACATGCGTGAGCATGTGCCAAGGGGCTAGTAAAAGATAACATGTCTAAAAAGTAGTAAATTTGAGGGCAGGTGTGAAAGCATACTACATGAAAACAAGGCAATTAGAAGAACAAATCTTTACTTGCTAAAACAGGTTTCCTCCCCTCTAGACTACAAAAGACTTGAACTTGTAAGAGATGCATGCAATCCGGGTTTGGCTACACAAAGATAACATCATGACGTTCTCAACATATTTGTGCAATTTACTTTTTCAGAACCGGTTGTGTAAATACAAAATCTGAGATCCTGTTTACTCTTCTAAACATGATCTAAGTATGCTGCTGATTAAAAAGACAATTCTCAGCTTCAGGTTCTTAAAAGCTCCATCAATGCTCTAGATGGAATACATATTCTGTCAAGTTCTGCAATTTACTGGCATCCAGTTTCTGCTCTGTAACAATGGGCTGCTTCTTCACAGTAAGCATTTGAGAAGCAGAGTCCACAGCCCAACCTTGCTGTTGTACAACTGCATATGACAACCAAATCTCAAGAATTTTGCAACATAAATGATAACAGGCCTAAAAGCATAAGTATGCAATTAATGGAAAAAATAATAAAATATTATTTCCTTTTATATTAAGGAAATAATTCATTATTGATGATAAGCAGTGTCGTCACCAAGTCCAGTCATCAAAGACTAGGTAACCTTTAAAGCAAAAAGAACTGTTTTATAAAGTGAATACAAGAAAAGGCAATGAAAAACTGTAGTTAATCAAGGTTCCTAAAGTTCTCCCAGATTTTACATCCAAATTCTCCTAAATGTAGACAGGTACACCTTTCTTCTTATATTTTAATTGGACCAACAGTATGAACAGAACACCCAAATCCACCATAACATAGACATTTACTTGCCACTCTAATATGACAGCTAGGGCTCATTCAAGACAGTATTATTAGGTAGGAACAAAATTATACCAAAGCCAACTCTGCCACTGCCTTTAATCTTTTTCCAATCATCCATTGACGCTTCTTAGTGACTTTTCAACTGGTTTATCATACTTGATATATAAATTCCTATGTTTGTAAATCTCAAAAATTACCCCTCCTAAAGCAGCGGAACCTTTTTACAGAGAATCTACTTATTCAGGACAAATATACTTCAAAAAGGCCATACCTCCAACTGTAACATGGTTAATTTCCCAATGATACATCTACTATCTTTTCTCATAGACAAAAAGATTTTGGTTTTTTTGACTTTTTTGGCAATTCCCCATCTTAATGTGCAGCAACAAAATAGGGTTACTATCTGGACAAAGCATTAAGATTTTTGTTTTCCATTTTTTCAGAAAAGAAACTTAACCCCCAGGGCAATTTGGAACATATACAATAGTGAAAACAGAAGCTTACAAGTTGTGGCATCATCCTCGCTCATTCCAAGGAAGAGAGCTGTGTCTTGGATGCTTATTGTAGAATAGGCAGACTGCAGGAGCTGAAACATATTCTTTGTGTAAAGATCTGCAAGAAGTTCAGAAGACAATTAATGATGGCAAGAAGTGCATAAAACATAAGAATTAGTACTCTACAAGCTCCCTTAAACACCAGAAAAATAAGGAAACAGAGTTATTTGAGTGTTGATCCCCTAATCAACAATTATCACAAAACTATAGAGATGTTAGATTATGTTATGCAAGTCATCCGCATAGAAATTATAAGCATGACATGATATATTGAAATGGACAATTGTGTCCAGATTGGTAAGTACTTAGACATATTTCTCCACTGAAACAAGAGTAAATATTGTCACTTCCCACTCCTAGATCAATAAAGGAACTGTATAAAGACACAATGAAATAAACCTCATCCTGACTGTCAGATGGCTTGAACAGCTAAATCATCATCCCAAAGACATAATTAAAAAAATACTAAAGACAGCATGAAGGTCTTCATCTTGGAAGATAGCACATTATTAAGCATCAACATCGTTGTGCTTTGGAAAGAACCTTACAGAAGGAACTAGAACAGCTAACAATGATATCACCTAACTAATTCTAGTAACATTGAAGACATGAAAGGCTTGCCATATGACAATTCAATTAACGAAGTGCTAGATAATGGATAAAAGGAACTCTTAGTGAGTTGAAAATATAGAGAGAAGTTTGTAAATAAACACCTCTCAGTAGACAATCACTAGGGGGCGTTTGGTATCCTATTCAAATAGGAAACTCAAAAACTTTGATTTTTCTTAAAAACAAGGAGTTCTTAAATCTATTTTTAAGATTCAAAAACTTGTTTGGTATGCAACTTGAAAACTGTTTTCAAATCTTAAAAATTTGAGAACTTGTGGGTTGTTAGAAAAAAACTGAAAAAACTGATATTTTTTGTTTTTAATAATTGGGGTGTTTTTTAGTTGTTCTTGAGTTTGAGTTGAGTTTTTAAAAATAGGGTAACCAAACAGGTTTTCTTTGTTTTGGACTCAAATTCTGTTTTTGAGTTTAAAAAGTTGGATTCAAGTTGAATACCAAACAAGCCTTTTTATGTGCAATCAGGAGACCGACCATCCCCTTAATTGTGCGAGGTTAGCAAAACAGAAGATAATCCAATCTTGGCCACACCAGCAGTCAATATGTATAAAAGTTGAAAGATAAAACAGAGAACCAATGATATTTGAAGTCAGACTATGCTTGGGTGGTACAATTTACAAAACTATGATTCCTACCAAAGATCCACATGACAGGATACCAAAAAGTAAGACTAAAGCAGTGAAGCCCTTACACGAACCAACAGAAACGCACAATTCAGTAGACTTTTATATCTCCTGTTAAGTAGCACAACAAAACACTAATTATTGTCTTTCGAAATCTTTAATTTGACAACTTGAGTCTTAAGTCAGATTGCAATTGTTAATCACTTGTCTACAGTCTAGTAGAACTCAATTTGCTAACATCTTCGTCAATTTGAATAAAACTAGCAAAAATTTCCAATTCTCTATCAAACTCATAATCCGGTTATCAGTCTTTTGATGATTAATCATACATTGAGCTTGTTCTTTAGTATTTCCTTTTTAGAATCATTATATGCAACAACCAATACGTTCACAACAACTGAAGGGTTCAGTTCGCTGAGAAATCGGCACGGTTCGGTTGGTTTTGCGGTGAAACTGGGATGAATAGAGGGAAAAGAAAGCAGAAGAATAAAGGAGGAGAGAGAGAGAGAGAGAGAGAGAGAAGAGGCGGCGGCGGCAGAGACAGAAAAAGAGAAAGAGTAACAAAGAATACGGAGAGGGACAGAGAAAAGAGAGCGACGGAGAGGAGAGAGACAGCAGGGACAAGATTGACTAAGAAAGGGAAATAAGTTACCGCCTTGTTCTTGAATGATTTTTGATTGGGGGTCTGGGAATAAATCATTAAAACTAAATGGCCATCCATCAAAATCAAATACCTGTATTTGAGAGCATGCCAGCCAGATATGTTAAGTCCTCGGATAGGATTAGAGTATCTCCCCAACCTCCCACAAAGCAGACAGGCACAGTACCACTAAATTTCCAGTATTATAACTGGCACATGGACACGACAGTATTATGACTGGCATGGTCCTCAACTGTGTGCACCTAAAATTTCAAGGTTTCCCTTCTAATCTAGCTTTAAATTTTCCTACTACTTATCCTCAAGCTTTCTTCAACAGGGCAGACATTGTAAAAAGATTAAAGAAATAGTGACTCTCTTCTAATGGAGGTGAACCTAAAGCTCATAACTCATATATCAATTTACAGTATGATAGACTTTTAGGAGCTCTTGACCTTAATGAATAAATGTTGAGCCTTGCTCCTTCTCAACGAATCCTTGGACTGCCTACAAATACTTGGGCATGATAGGTCTTGACGTATTCCAACTTTGTAAAGCTTGCAAAAACATGCTAGCTATAAATCGGCTTATTAAACCCAATTTAGCAGCCTAGCCCCACGCCTTTTTTTAGTACTTCCAAGATAAATGAAATAAATTCCTTTACCCATGATCTATGGTGTACTTTCTATAACAATCAATTCTTCAGCATTCTTTGACTATTGAGCAATATCACTCTTTTGACTGGGGTGGATATATTTGTCATAAATCTAAAAACCATATCATCATACATGTACAAAACATAGACAATACTGTTTTGTGATCTAGAAAAACTTGCCTGAAAAGGCTGCAACAAGACCTTGAGCTTCCTGACTCCAATCATATCCACGAATAGCTTCATACACACCCCCCATAGTCTCGCATCCACAACTTCTGGCCAATTTTCCAAGCAGCAATGACTTCTGGATTGCCCTCTTTGAGAGTGGCAGGCATTGATTTCCAAAGAAACCGCATACTATTACTGCATATTTACCACCCGACAGATCAAATTCTAAATAAATGTAGAACAAAAATAAAGAAATCAGATTTAACACAGGATGCCCCAAATAGCAAAACAACGTTAACAATAAAATGCAAAATTGCAATACAACATGCAATCAAAACCCAGAATGGCAAAGCAATATTTTACTCTTCAAACCATCATCCGGAAAAAAGATATAGCAGATTAAGCTAAAATAGAGGTATAGGGTTGGGGAGCAAGAAGAATTAAAAAAGATTAAATCATAATATTTAAAATGAAACAAAAACAGAGAGGAAAAAAACACACATATCACCAGCGTAAATGTGACCGAGAAGATGAATGGCGTAGGGCCAGTCCTCCTGAAAAGCAACGCCCTCAGCTGCGACCTGTACGATCAGAGACAGAGACAGAGACAGAGACAGAGAGCTGCGAGTGAATATAAACAGAAAATTTTGAACTTTTTCTTTATGGATTGAAACCCAAATCAAACCTGAAGCATGTGTTCGTCACAGATATCGGCGACCTTTTCATACGATTTGGAGGTCAAGGCCTCTGATAGGAGAGAGAAATCCATGGCTGCTTTGTTTGCTCTCTGTATTTTGTTGGTGTGTAGCATAAAGTTCAAAATTCATGAATGATAAATTTATCACAATAAAGAAACAATTTCTCGCTCTGTCGCACCGATACGGCACTTTTTGGGGGTATCTGCGTATCAGATACGGCTCTGATGCGATACGGTATCGATACGCTATGTGGCGTATTGTAGACTTTTTATAAAAGTAAAAATATTTTGAAAATTTTGGGGTGGGAAGAAGGAAGAATGAAGAAGAAAAGAACTTACAATACGCACCGTTTTAGTTGCATGTTAGAGGTGGGCATTTAAACCGAAAAACCGGAAAATCGAGCCGAATCGGACCGGAAAAAATTGGAAAAAATCGAGTTGACCAAAAACTGGGCTGAGTTGACCAAAAACTAAACCGGACTGGTTCTAACCGGTTCCAGTTTCGATTTGACATCTCAAAAAACCGAACCGGGCCAAATCGGTCCGGAATCAAATAAAAAATAATACATACATATTTTTTGGTGGCCCAACTACTAAGCCCAGAATTTTTCTCACTTCCCAAACCCAACTACCAACATCTAACCTTACCCAAGCTCATCAACCAACACCTAACCCTAAAACCACCTTTTCTTTCCTTCCTCTCTCCCTTATCTTCAATTTTCCTCAATTCGCCGCAGCTTCTCTCTTTTATTTTTTGTCTCTCTCTCTCTCTCTCTCTCTCTCTCTCTCTCTCTCTCTCTCTGTATTTTTTTGCTAATGTATGTTAGACGTGCTGCATCTTTTCAATAGATGGCGAGCCCCCATTTACTAGTGTTGAGGCCCAAAAAAGTCCACGGTTGGGCCCAAATAAGTTTTCGGTCCAATACGCTACTATATTAAGAAAAGTCACATATCTGAGTACGCGAAGGCTCGTCATATGCGAGTCACACCACACGCGCCATGCCAAATAAATAATTCGTCATGTTAGGAATCGAGATTAAGATTATAAAATGCATTATCTTTGCAAATCCATGCTAATTATCCCGTCAGGCATAATAATTGAAAGCATGCTAAGCGATATGCCATGCCAAGCGACATGTCATGCAAAGTAGGAAATCATTATTACACACTCAACCACGCTACAAGCCTAAGTGGGCCCAAGCCACTCGAATGCCCGGGGCTTGCTTGAGTGGGTTGTGGTATGGATGGTAATAAATCAACATGAGGCCCATTGATGGGCCGAGAAATGGAAAGTCTCGGGTTGCTTGGGAGCCTCGAGACTTAAGCCCATTTCTTAGGCCCAAACATGTGGGTGAGCACAAGAGAGAAAAGTAGCACAATAGCCCAAGCAAAATAACCTAACCAAAATAACCTAACCAAAAAATAAGCTCAATCAAGAGGCCCAATGTTTCACAAAAAGCCCATTTGCTTAGGAAACCACCTTGGCCCATATAAAAATCCCAAAATAATCCACAAAAGCCTTAGCTCTTTTGAAAAATAGAAAACACGTGAAGGAAGTTGGCAGACTCATTAAGCAAAGCTGCTGGGAGCAAGTTCCAAGCTAGAGACGCCCAAAAAACCAAGGAATGCTGGTTTGCATGCTATCAGAAGTACCCCTTGGACCAGCATATATTTTCACTTCCTTTCCTTCATCAAATTTAGCCAAAGCAGGGGGAAGGAAAGAAGAAAAAATAGTAGCCAAGAATGGAAGTTCCCACTGCACAGCTGCGGGAAAGGGGGATGTTGAGCTCCCAAATCTCCTGAATTCGTGCAAATAGACAGATGCAATTTTTGCCAAGATAGGGAAGTCAGAGAAGAGGAGGAGAAAGGAGGAAAAAGACTTGACAAAATGGGATGGAAACCATTAGGGTTTCTTGGAAAATGTCAACTTCCAACGGCTATAAATTGAGGCCTTTTCTACCCAACGGAAGCAACCCACATCTAGAGAGCAAGCTTCATCTCTCATCATGAAATCTCTGCAATTTCGTGCCCTAATCCTCCATCTCCTCCCACTTTCCATTCTGCCATGCCATTCTAGAGTCTGACATAGCTTTGTCAGGCTGCTGGAAACTTAGCCAAACCACCAAACACTTCACCATTAGCCACAACTCAGACCCAGAGAGCAAGCTTTCTCTTTAACTTACAAAAACCTAGCAATCTCGTGCACTGTTCATCTTCTTCTCCGTTTTGCTCTTCTGGCAGCTGTCGGAAGAATTATGTTATTCATTTTCCCTTTCCTAGCCAAATCTCTTACAAAACTTCTCCTTCCTTACCTTAACACTTCCTTTTCCCTCAAAGCAAGCCTAAATTTTCTCTTAGTGCTAAACTTATGTTGATTTTGCTCCCATGCCACATGCCACTCACGCTGAGCTTGAGAGTTTATCTGTAAGCATGAAGAAATTACTTGTAAGCTGCCATTATTTTGGTTGGTGAAGATAACCGAAATACTTCCTAAGGCTCTACTACCCTTTCGAGGTATTTTGGAGCCTAATTTTTGAACTCAAGCAAAGGGGACAATTTCATCAGAGTGCCCTTTTACAGCAGCCCAACCCATTTGCAGCTGCTGGAGGAAAAAGTCCCCTACAACTAGCATGTCTTTTCGCCTAATATCAGTTTTGGAGGTATGTTTTTTGTAGTGTTTCTCAAATTTGTGTGGTGAACTCATTTATTGTGATAGTGTTTCTCCTATTTGCATCTCCTTCTTTGTTTTTCACATTTCTCCCCTCATTTTCGCCACTGTTTTTTTGGGTTTTTATTAGTTTATTTTTTTTTCTCTCCCCTTTTTCTCCCTTATTCCTCTAACTTTTCATTGTTGTGCATCTCCTTCTTTTTGGGTTTTTATTTGTTTGGGTTTTTTTATATTGCTTTTATGTTTATATGCCGAATTTCTTTGTGGGTTTCATTAGATTCATGTTTGTTTATGATTTCTGATTTAGATTCATATATAAGTATAAATGAAATATTTATTATTTCTTTTGGGGCAGCTCCTGAATTTGAGACAGGTTGTTTTTCACCAAAAATTCATCAAGGTCAAATATTTAACTCTTCGTTTTTGTTATGTAATCGAATGCTGTAATTTTAATTTTTCACCAAGAATTCTCTTTTTCTACATGCAGGGGCTGGTAGAGCTTAATAGAGAAGGTTTGAAGAAGATGCCTCTTTGTGCTGCCAAGGGGCCTCTGAGAAAGAACAAGGGGAAGAGTTTTTTTTTTTTTTTGTTTTTTTTTTTTTTTTTTTTGATGGAGTAGTTTAAATGTTATTTCTATAATTTTGTAAGTAATTTTGTTTGCAATATGTGTATTTGTTTTGTTATTGGCTTGTAATTTTAAATTTAATGTTTGGGATGATTGGATGGGAATTGGGCTAATTGTGAATTTGTAGGCCCAAATTTTTTAAAAACTTTAGTTGGGCTTAAATCTCTAAAAATTTATAATAAAAAAATCAATTGGTCCCAAGGGCCAGTCCAAATTGGAAAACTGGAAACCGAACCGGATATAAACTAGTTTGGGTTAGTGCGGTTCTCTTAGGTGTTTAATTGAAAAATCGGATCGAACCGAACTGGATGAACAGTGCCGGTTTCGATTTCGAGTTTAGAGGAGAACCAGGCCGAACCGGACCGTGCTACATGTTGGGTAGCCTATGTTGAAAAAGGTGTTTTGTAACTTTTTATGTCTGCATTTGGGCCCAAGCCCAAGAACTGAAACAAGTTATATACATGGCCTAGAAAAACCTAAGGGCCTATTTGGTACACCTTCTAGGCTTGGATTGGCTTAGATTGACTTTTTATCCCATGTTTGTTGTGACAATGAATATGAATGAAGTTTGTAACAAAATATACCTACTATTAGGGAATGCTATAATCCAAAACAATGTATAACTACAAAATACCAAAGCCTTCATGTTCTAAGTAATATGCGATTGGCAAACCGGGTGAAAATTTAGCATATCAAATTGCAATTGTAGTTTTGCATTTTCCAAATACCATCACTCTATTCGATAATTGTAATTTACTCAAAATGTCCCACTAACCTTGAATGACAAAAACACAAGAGTCCGAAAATCGTGTTACAAGGTTTTAAATACAAGGGTACTATAATGTCATAAACAAGATTTCTAAACTTGTAAATTACAAATTTTAGGTGCCCATTTATGAAATTTTGCACATGAATTTGCGTTACAGTTCACCCCAACAATAATATTGCAGTCTCGTAGTCACAGTGATAGGGATCACATTACAAGAAAATGGTAAGCATGAACCTTATGGAAGTAAAATTGGGTCATTATTCTAGTAAACACAAAGGTTTCTTTCCAATATCCTCCTTGGAAACATGCCAATGTCCATTTGATGATATTTTATCCTTTAATGACTTCAAATGCCTAGTTTTTTAGTTAACTAGTGGCATATCAATGCCGTCATGAAAGTTGCTCATATTCTAGATAATGTGCAATTGCCAACCAATGTAATTTATATGATCAAACAAATATTAATAGTTCCTGTCTCTATTAGTGAGACTAAGCATAGCTTGCGGGCCCCTATTTAGGTATTTGGCCTCTATGACTTTGGTCAATAAAATAATCTCCATGTGGATGAGTTACATGCATTCTCCTAATTGGGCCGGTCCACATGTCTTGGGAATCGGGATCCCTTGGTACGCAATGGACCACCTCAGCAATTTGAATTATAGATGGTGGATCCACTTGGGCTACCTTCTCAGTTAGTCAACGTTAGGCAGCCTACAAATATGGGCGAGCTATTTAATACTTTAGGCTTGAAACTTGGTGCAAGTGTTTAGCGCAAGGTCATCATGATCTACCTTATCTGGAACTTAAGTCAAACCTAACAACTTCACGGACTCATTCGTAAGCGGAGACCTTATGTCATCTTCCTAATGGAGACTAAAATGAAAAACAACAAGATTAGTGGAATAAGAAGAAGGCTGGGTTTTGTTAATGAGTTTAATGTAGATCCTATATGTACAGATGTTGACTTAAGTTTATTGTGAGATGACAGTCTTGGGATGGAGATTCAATTT